CGCCAACTCTTGGGCTACTCTTGTACCAACGAATAGTGGGATTCACCGTCACATTATAACGCCCCCACGGCTGAAAGGGCGAGCATGTTTGGTGTGACAGGTATTCGAACCCGCGACCCTCTGATTGCGAGTCGAGTGCCTTAACCACCTGGCCATGCCGGGCCTGGTGAAATAATACCTGGAAGGAAAAAAAGAGGCCGATGGAACAATAGCAAGAATGACTAGACCTGCATAATGCCCAGATACGAATATTATTAAGGCTGTATTGGCTTCAACAGAAACCAAGAAAATTGTGGAAGTAACACGATACACTTGAAACAATATTTCACAATCATTCATTGACAAACTTATGGTACTTTTAAGACAAGGTATAACTACTCTGTTTAAAGAAGTTACAAACACGTACTTACAACCCTCTCCTTTATTCTTTGTCCAACATTCGCAGTCCCCTTCACATGAATCATTATTTTTTGTACGACCAAATGACGCCTAGTCGTTCCAACACTAGGGGGCGCGATAAATCACACTAGAGGGGCGAACTCACGTTGAGTTGATAGGGCGTTACATATGCATTTTATGTATGCATTGAGATGACGCCTCAAACCTTAACAGGGGATACTTCCTTGTGACAAAAGGCGTCAAGACGAAATAATAAGAATTGTTGTGTGTTGTAAACAACCGTTAAAGTGACTTCTCCCTGGATGATCCGTCGCTTGGTATTCTTTATTCAGTTCATAATGATCTATCTCGACATCATAGTCTACATATGAGATTCTGGTCGAACATCTCAAACACCAGTAGATATATTAATTATTTATGTATGCTTGAACCAACATAAATCATAAACCATGTTATGTAGGCACATGTATAAGAGTCAACAAATATTCTGGTTGGATAAAGTCACTTGTGAATAATGTTTGTCCAAAAAGTTTTTTTTTTTATTATTGAAAAAAAAATATATATATATATATAGAAATATATATACCTCTTCTCTTAATAGTTAACTTGCATTTTCTAGATCTGTTCTAAGGGGAATTCCCATAATCAAAGAAGAACAAGTAGAACAAACAGGTGATCCTTTGTACGATGTTAGCTAAGAGATTGTATTATTAGAAGGTTAATGTAAAATACGAGCATTCCCCTCTAGTACAGCCCAGATTTGAAGTCATCAAATCAAGGTCTAGATTATTTGATGCCACAAAGCGGGCTCTGTGTCGGATATGGTGTTTTATATTAAATATTTTAAATGTATGCATAACAGAAAAAAAAGGCAATAAATTGATGTAGACATTTCGTTATTTTTTGTTTGTTTCTTTTTAGTTTATATTCATTTATCAATACACGATTCTTTACATATATATTTCATAAAGTAATTAAATTTGCTAAAAATTAATTAGGTTTTATTTAATACGTGTTCCAGTTTACATTTAATCAGTCATATATATTAAGGTACTAATGTAGACACATAAAATAAAGTGTAAGCTCGCACTTGGTAAAAGTACTAGTTTTGTGAAAGCAGTATTAATCCACTAGAAAGTAGTCCTGGGCATAATTCGTTATATTTCCATCAAATGTTCAAGTGAGGCAATAATATTAGCTGTTTGATAAGTAATGTTTCAATTGTATAAAACAATCAAACTATCGGTGTTTCTGTAATTGTGCTGTTACGTATCAAAATAATGCTCTCTTAGTACGTTTTTTTTATTTAAAACTGAAACTCCAAACTCACATTTGTATTTTTATTTTGTTCTTAGTACATCTGTCGTCTTGCTTGTTTAAAGTGTGTTTTTTATATAATTTTAATAGTTCTGCTGCCACAACCTTACATACATTTGGTTTTCATATTATGATTCCAGTCTTAAGTCCAGCGCAATTTAACTTAATAATTTGTCCAATATCTCCTGAAAAAAAAAACACTATGACAGCGTATATATTACGTTGTGTCGAAGTGAGGTGGGCGAACATTTTCTGTAATGTTGACCGCAATTTAAAACAGGTTGAGAATCTTTGACGCTAGCGCTACACTAATCAAGTGTTGAAGTAACGATATATCTCACTGCAAGATTTGTATCCTTTCATTTTCACTATGAACCTTCTTATAATTCACCAGCTGGTCTTTTTAAGTTAAAGTTGAGTATCGTATTTAAATTCACATGTACACACACAGTGCATGCACAGAACGGATAGCTCTAAACATTAGCGTACTTTATTATAGCACCTACTACTTACGGTAAGGTTATATGGTAATTGAATATCAATGTTGTCATGATTAGTAGCCTATGCGAGCACCTAAGTCTCATTACCAGTTAGTTTCTGCCTTTTTTATTATTGTTATTATTACGACTAACTTCTTAATATCTTACGTTTTGGCTGCTAATCTGCCTTTGACCAAGGAAGTCCTGAGGAGGACTGATTCTGTATTGGTAGTGATTCAATCCTGGGTCTTCCTGATAGAACATCTGGTATGCTTGCTGTTTACTTGACTTGATTTATAGCCCACCCTAACAGCATAAAGACATGTATCATAAACTATCTAGCTTCAAGAATGAACAAGATTTGTAATACCGAAGATACTAAGGAGGAGGAAGAAAGTCACAGGCAAACAACTATATTCCCCTATATCAGAGGTTTTTCGGAAAACAACAGAGAATATACGTTGACAACATTAAGTCAGAACACTATTCAGAAGCCACAACGCAATACGATGACAATCAGTACACACCAAACCACCTAAACACCACAAGAAGAGGGGAAAAAACACTGTTTACAATATCACCTGTGAATATAAATTCTGGTACATTGAAGAAACAAAAAGATCAAGAAAAGTTACAGTTAAAGAATATAAAAACTCTTTAATACAAGACTCGATAATACCGATCTATCTATCTACAATAGCCTATCATCCAGAAAAGGGATATGAACCACACATGAGAAAGAGAAATGTACAAGAATCCCCTAAATCCACCTAAGTGATAATAACCTCAAACAACATAGCATAGAAGTAAGCAAAACCTGATTATCTTACTGAAAACTCGATTCAAGTTCTAACATAAGAATGTTGTTGTTGTTTGTTATTAAGCACAAAGCTACATAAAAGGCTATCTGTGCTCTGGCCACCACGGGTATCGAAACCCGGTTTCTAGCAGTAAAAGTTCGTAGACATACTGCTGTGTCACTGGGGGGGGGGGGGGCTAACCTTAAGAAACATCGACAAGTTGATAACACACCAGCCTTTCTATCACGAAGACCCAGAATTGAATTACCACCACTATACAGAAATAGTTATTCTCAAGATTTCCCTGGAGACGGCAGCAAGTAGCAGCTGAAATGTGTAGGACGTGAACAAGTTAGTAATTAGTATCTAGTAGTAATTAATGAATAATTAGACTTAGGGGATCGTATAGGATATTAACCACATTGATGTTTTTTGGATTTTGTTTTTGTTGGTTGTTGTTTATAACAAACACTGGGTATAGAACACAATATAATCTTGATAACCCAGATAACAATGACTTTAATGACTTATACTAAATGTTCTTGCATTATAAATATAGAGCAGTAAAAAGATGTACATATATATAGGTTAAAAGTACAAAAAACATTTCAAATCGTATTTATTCTTCGTATAAGTCGATGTAAAACATTAAACTTCCCGAATCGACCATTTAAGAATAAATTTACACCACCAAGTTAAAAGTTTAAATGGTTGATGTTAGGACGTTGTGAAACTTGCTTCTAAGAAATACGTCTGGCCCATAAATTAGTGGGGCTCATGTAAGGAAACGAAGCCTTTCCATGTTATAACTTACCACAGTTAATTAGTAGCAAAGATTTAAGAAACTAATGAGACAAACTGCTAATAAAAGTCCGTCGTTACCACATATTGGAATCTTGGTAAAATTCATAGCTCGAACAAGGAGAAAAGTATAAAAAAATGAAAAGGATTAAAAAGTTACAATGTTTAGAAATTCAACACTAAATTTAACGAAGGGTCATGTTGATAGTATCAGTTTGTTTGTTTTTAAACTTTCAGTTATTTATGTATTAAATGGTTGTGGATCCATAGCTTTATTAGTTCCAAGAGATTCCTCAAACACAAGAAATATAGTGTATGTGTGTTTTCTTATAACAAAGCCACTTCAGGCTATTTGTCGTGTCCACCTAGGAGACTCGAACCCCTGATTTTAGCGTTATAAAGCCGTAGACTTTCCGCTGTCCCACCGGGGGACAAAACATAGAGACAATACTATCAATAACGCAATTAACCCCACTAAGTACTGCTGAGGTTCCCTATATATTCTACATAAAACATAGAAAGTGAGAGATTTCAATCATTTTAATTGTTCAGTTCTTTACAATGAGTATTGTAAAAAAAAAAGCAACAAAATAAATATGATACGGACTTCACAAGAAATGCAAACAATCTATAATAAAGTCATTACTAAAATATTAAATAATTCTTGAGAATATTATCTTTGATTATATTGATCATTAGTTTCATAAATTACTATTAGTTTGTTAACTTTGTGCACGATTAAGTCGAAATATTTACAAGTTTGTAATTACATACATTTGACAGAACGTACAAAACATTAATATATATATATATATATATAAAACAAATTTTTTAAATTAAAAACGATATTTCAGAGAAATTACTATAATGTAAATACTATCTTTATGTCTTAATGATCTGGTGACAGACCTATTTATGTTAGTTTTGCTTTTTTGTAATAATAAGGTACGTTACACGGAGAGAAAACGGAACGAATAATAACAATAAATGTAACAGACATCTAGTAACCCTACCTGACATCTGACTTGAGGAATGTGAGCACACAGTAGAATGGCTAAAAGGATCATTGGTAAGGTAATCATAGTTTTCTTCGTCAGATGGGTAAAATGAACTTTGATGGTAAAACTAGTCCGCACAGGTTTCTGTTGGTGATCTAGATTCTCTACTAATCACAATGAGAAAATTAAAGCGACGTAGCTGCATAGATACAGCTAAAAAAAACAAATTATTGAAATATATTTGATTTAAGATAGGTTTTAATGTCTGTGAGAGCAGTTAGCCCTAACCTTATCGCCACGAAAGAACAGTTCACGAGTTTCGTTTACCGGTGCATAAAAGTTTAGTCGGAATCATCAGTTTGACCCATTAATAAATATACGTAACGCGGGAACACTTGAAATTCAAACAAGGGATTCCAGGTGAAAGTAAAACTTAATTAACGTAACTAACGAGGTTAAAGGAATCCATATTTCGCCTTCCACATTCGCTTTTTCCTTTCTTAAACTTTAGTAATTGATAACATTCTGTTTATGAATGCAAGATTAGTAGAAGTAGAACTCACGTGCAAGTGTACACGCGGCACTCACACGAACTGCTCAATATCTTGCACTTCGTGTGGCCTGCGTGGGTTCTTGCTCGCGGCTGCAATACTAATTTGTGACTAAAGCCTGTCCCAGTAGCAGTTGCTCTAAAAATCACCATCAACCACAGCATTCGCCACGCATGCCTAGTTATCTAAATACCTCTCTGAGCATGCGCACTCACTACAAAGTGCATAAAGCGACGTAACTTGTTCGAAACATCTCAACCTTGCATATATATATATATATATATTTCGTTTGACAGTTAAAACGTCAATACATTTATGAATACTAATGTAAACATTGATAACGGCTTAGATTTTAGTTGGTTTATTTTGGTTTATATTATTACTCGTGGCTTTAAAAAAGCCAATTAGACTTGAATGTTTTAGGCGGGTTATAAAAATATCGCCTACAGGGGTAATAAACATTATTTCACATCTAGAAGTACAACAGATAAACGTACCAATGCACCAGGTAGAAATGTATATACATAGATAGATACAAACAAACAGGTCCAATGATACTGATAAAAATCGTACTAAATTGCAGATGTATATTTCTACATTTTTTCTTAATGAGGATTTCAAATTAAAGGCGTGTAAAAACAGCATTTTTTTTGTGGCAGACATAAGACACATTGAATGCAGTCTAATGTGATTTTTGCCACTATTTTTAGGCCAATTGATTTCATAGCTTCATTGACTTTTGGCATTTAAACCCGTCATATATACAATCAAACCTTGAATACTTCTCAAATATACAAAATTTTTCGATGTGAACAAACCATTTTTTAGAAGCTATACATACCTTTTTTGTACTATACTTTAATTTCATCGAGTAGTGACTTAAGTTTAGTGGTTGAATTATTGATAATAGGATTCACACCACTTTTCACTGATGGTTGAATTATTAATAATAGAACTCAAACCACTTTTCACTGATGGTTGAATTATAAAGAATAGGATTCACACCATTTTTCACTGATGGTTGAATTATTAATAATAGAACTCAAACCACTTTTCACTAATGGTTGAATTATTGATAATAGGACTCAAAACACTTTTCACTGATGGTTGAATTATTGATAATAGGACTCCCACCACTTTTCATTGATGGTTGAATTATTAATAATAGGACTCACGCCACTTTCACTAACGGTTGAATTATTGATAATAGGATTCACACCACTTTTCACTGATGGTTGAATTATTGACAATAGGGCTCACACCACTTTTCACTGATGGAGCGCAATTTAAAATCAGAATAGCTAATTAAATATACTATTTTTATTATTTTTTTACTTTCTTGATCATAAAGATTACAATACATTGTTTTATCAGCTTGGTACCTTCGCAGTTAACGATATTTTCTGCCATCAACCCGATAATATTGCACGAGGTTCGGCAGAGGTTCGATAAAGAAATAATATAGTATACTTGTTTTAGAATAAAGCCACATTAGGCTATCCTCTGTGTCCACCGCGGGGAATCGACCCCCGGATTTTAACACACAAACTCTAGCTGTTGGCTTCAGGAACTGTCGTAGATTTAGAAAATCCTGTAAGGACGACCCCTCTACCAATTAACCCTTCTCTCACAATTGCATGTATATATATATATATATATATATACACATACAATAGTTCCCTTTTCTTTTCGTTATTTCCTAGCCTATTACTCTGCCATGTAACATCAAAATATTTTTACTAAAGTAAAGGATACGAAAATGTTAAAATAACTGACGTCTAATAAATGTTTTTTTGTAACTCTTATATGAAACTCTCTCGTGTGGACGCTTGTTATAAATCCTAAAGTAACTTCTCTAAATTCATAACGTGAGTAAATTAATGATAAAAAACGAATTGGGGCTTTTATCTTCGCAATCAATATTTTGTAAGCAACACTGGAACTCCTCTGTTCGATATAGACTTCCTCTGTCCCCCTGTAGGACAGAGGTAAGTTTACGGACTTACAACGCTAAAATTCTGGGTACAATTCCCCGCGGTGAGCACAGCAGATAGCCCAATCTGACTTTGCTCTAAAACAAAACAAATAAGCAAGAGACTTTCTCTATAAGTATAAAATAATGCTGAAAAGGTTTTTAATGTTTCCATTAAATTTGAGCATTAAATTTGATGAATAGTTTTTCTTTTTCATTTATTGTAAATACGAGGTCTGTTTGTTTTTTATTGTAAATATGGTGTTCAGGTGCAATCGCTGAGGTATCTTTTAAACTTTGTTTTTATTGCATATTAGTAAACCTGAAGAAGGCTGAAAGAAAAAGCAGCTCAAAGTGTAATCAAAGGGTGGATCCAACGTGTTATTCAGGGTAGTTCGAACTACCCCATTTCAAAAGCAGTACCCCTTTCAGTTAAATTTAAGAACAAAATTCTATTTTACTCTTTATGGAATATATTCTCCAAATGATAAAACTGCTTCCCTCTCGAAATCCTAGATCCGCCTCTGTAAATATATTGAATTTGGAAATAGAACAACTGATTGGGTTATTATTATCTTCTATCGTTTATAAAAATCACTTTAACTTTATTATTTTATTATTTTTCAATTTATATAAATTATGTATATGTTTTGTTAAGCCTTCTGGGTTCCCAAACATCGCACTCTTGTGGCAATTTCCCCACCTATTCCAAGAGGTATTGTAAAACTGTAAAATTCACTAAACATACAATTACTTGCTAGTTAATATGCTAGTAGTTAAAATCATAAATAATATTCAACGTTAAACTGGTACACAATTAAAAACATTTTACTTAGGCTATAAATACTTTGGCAATTGTCTTGTAATTCACTCCTGAGGATAACGTTGTAACGTCGAAACATGTAGAATCGTCAACTTTTTGAAGGCCATAGATAGGTCTACATAAAATGTTTTTAATTGTGTACCAGTTTAACGTTGAATACTATTTATGATTTTAACTTTATACACAAGTGCCAAAATACTATAATTATGCTAGTAGTTATTTAGAATTTTTAAAACATTATTAGGCCTTTATGATGAGTTATTTATTATGGGTCTCTATATGGGATTGACAGGCATTAACACAGATTTTACTTCTTTCTATAGATCTTTTATAGATACTTATACATATATGTGTAATATTCAAATGAACACAGTAGAGAATCCTTTGATAGAGCAGTTGTGGATGACGAAACGAGGACAGCGAAAACTCGTGTTCTGTTAGAGTAAGAACTGGATCTACTCATACACTTATCTCCAGAAAGAAGTTTAGGTAGTTAGAATGAGGACAAGGGCAGTATACACATTTACCTTTTGGAAAGAATTCTGGGTAATTAAATTAAGCCAGGCACAATGCTTATGTTGCCTGTTAGAATAAGTGTGAATGAAAGAACGAAGACAAGCACTCTAAACTAATTTATTTGTTGTAAACCCTGGAAATTAGCAAACGAGGACAGGGTACACCTATTTATCAGCTAGGTTAAGATTATATAATTAAACGATAACGGGGTAATCGTGAAGGGTTAAGTTTGGATTGAAATGAAATAGACATTACTTTCCGATTCGTAGGATCCCTGTCACACCGAACATGCTCGCCCTTTCAACCGTGGGATCGTTAAAATGTGACGGTCAATCCCACTATTCGTTGGTAAAAGAGTGGCTCAAGAGTTGGCGGTGGGTGGTTTTGACTAGCTTGCCTTCCCTCTCAATGTTAAATTAGGGACGGCTAGCACAGATAACCCTCGAAATACAAAACAAACTAAACCGATTTGTAGGAACAGTCTACTGTATTGGCGAAAAAATTATACATTACTTGGTTGGAGCACAGGAAAATACTGTTCCCCATAAAATCTAGTTCATGTAAAATACTTACGGCTTATCACTTCGCAGTAAGTTTTTGTGAGGTTAGTTACAACTGTATAGCCATACATAGAGTGGCTGCGAGCTGTTGACTAAGTAACAAAAATCTACACTTTCAAAATAGCTGAATAAACATTATATCTGTTACAACTAGAAATAAAACTTGTTAACACGTCACATACCAGAGAAACAGCGTCAGTTTTGTTTAACAAAGAAATGAAAAAGAAAGAATTAAGTATCGTCTTTGGTTTATTAAGAAACTGTAGTAAGCACGAATAGCAGCTACGAGTAAATAAAAGTTTCATGCAAGTTCATTTACGTTAGTTTTTAGTTTTAGTAAATCTTTAGAGTACAGCTTGTATTATTTACATGTTCGTGCACTGAGCAACTATGTAAGTCTCCAGACTTAAACCTACCACATTTACAACGCAAATACCAAAGACTATACTCAAAAATTCTTCTACAGGATGTCTACAATTGTATTTAATAGTTGGCCGTGGACCAGAAGTTCAGCCCACCCCCTGAGATTTTTTAGACAATATTATTTGAAAAGCTTATGCAGTAAACGTTTTAAAAACAACTGTTTAATGAAAATATGTTGGTGGGTTAAAGTTTGGGAATATTTTTAATTATATGAATCATACCGCAAAAAAAAACGACTTTGATCATTTGTTTTTGCATTCTCCAATGTCCACTTTTTGCAGCTTGACAAAGATCTTGTAATAAATACCCGATAATTCATC